AAAACATAATACGTTCAATCAACGATTAAATGAAATTCACATTAAAAAAACGTATTTTTAAAAGGTTACGTAATCGCATAAGTTAAACATAAAAATTTAGGTTTTTTAAAAATCAAAAAAAAAACAAAAATTTTTTTTTTCCGACGTTAAATGGAAAAAAAAAAATTCGAAAGTAAATACATTTATGTATAAATAAAATTTTCGTCTGCTAACTTTCTTCAAATTGTACATTTCAACACTTTTATTATTATTATCATATTTTTATGAAAAAAAAAAAAAAATTATAAAAGCTTCCTTCCTCACATTAAATCAAATAAATTGCAATTTATTTAATTTAAAAAAAAGAGGAAATATACATAATGTTAAATAATTTCACCGCGCCATTGATTCAATAATGTTTACATACCAAAAAAAAAAATTTAGTTATTTAGGAGCCGATTGAGCAAAAACTTTCTTTTTTTTTTTTTAAGGAAAAATATAAACTTCGGTTTTTGCACAATCCTATGACCGAAATATTTTGACGACATTTTGAATCCGTTCCTTATTTTTTTTTTTTTTTAAAAAATTAAAGAAAAGTTTGACATTGTCATTGCCGCCATAACGAAAAAAATAGTTTAAGGAAGTTTTCATGTATGTAATAAAAAAAAACAAAAAAAAATTAGAACAAACTTTAAATACGTCAATTCCATTTTGATTAAAAAAAAAAGCCTGTTATTTCCGGGTATAAAAAAAAATCGTTTTTTATATTAATAATGATAATAATATAGATTAAATTGAAATCATGTTTTTTTTTTTTAGTTAAAACCAATGAGAATAATAAACAAAGGAAAACATTATTTTACTTAAAAAATTATTAAAAAAGTCTTTATGTAAATTTAAAGAGAGGTCAAGGGTAATAAGGCTGTCGTTAATTTTTTTGTAAAAATTTCCAAACGTCATAAATTCTTGTTTTTTTTTTTTTTTTTTGATTTGACGTAATCATTTATTTTACGTCAGAATGTTTTTTATGACGTAACAAAAAAAGGTAAATGACAAAAAAATTTTTTATTCCCTCTCCTTCCCCCCCTTTTTTCCCTACGAAAAGACTCTGATTAGGCAAAAAATACAAACTAAGACAATTCATAATATATTGTTAAAATACATTATGTTATCATTATTATTATCATTATTATTATTATACGTGAGTCGTGTGTGTGTGTGTGTGTGTGTGAAAATGTAAAATTATACTTTATATAAATTACCTTTTATAATAATAATAATAAAATATTGCAACATCACAAACCTAAACACACACAAGCCGAATCATTTACTTCGTGAATTTGTTTTTTTTCTTTTTTTTTTACCTAATGTTGGATGCACTGTAATTCATTTCGTTAAAAATAAGAAAAAAACAATTAAATTTAACTTTGAAAATAATTTTTTTTTTGAGTTATTAATAACGACAATTATTATTAATCATTGTAATGAAACATAAAAAAAAATTATTAAATACTCTCGTGTAATTAAGATTTGAACAAAAAAAAAAATTATTTTATGTAACTTATTAATATCACGTTTTTTTTAAATAACTTTTACGATACGAATTAATAAAATGTCGTGGTAGAAGAAACAAAAAAAAAA